CTCACAAATGAACCGCCATGAGACATCCATGAACTGTTAGTACCTTATATGTGTGTTGTGTGTTGTCTTGGATGTGTTTGTGATGAGGATGATGATATTGGGCATAAAATTGAAAATAAACAATGAAGAAAAATGATCCTTTAGTTATTATTGTAGACATTTCAAGCAAGACATTTGTGCTTAATATTTATGCACATAGGAATTTCATTGAAATAGAATGTACCCTGATACAGTACCTCTTTGTGCAGAGTTGCGTCCCTTGGGCACGCCAGAAACCTATGATTGTGGGTTCGAATCCCGGTTCGCCCTGATTATGTTTCTAGGTTTGTCAGCACCTTACCCGTGCTCGTGGGTTTCGCCAAAGTGGTAAACGTCCGAGACCTGCATCACTTCGGCTTTCCTCCCACATTAAGCTGACACGCTGTGATATAACTGCAATTCTGTTAAAAGCTGCGTTAAACCCAACTCACACTCTGTGACATATTCTTCATCATGTTGAGCATGGAGCAAGCAAAGCATTCAGAGCAGCATATATGACTGAACATGAATGGGCAGTTCTGAATGCAAATTATTAAAGGCTTTACTATTTTATAACATGGATATTTTACACATGACATGGTGTCTATACCCAAATGGATGTACTACTTAGGGTATATTTATATTCTGTGATGGTTTTTAGATTTCGTTAAGATTGAAATTTCAGAGTTGAAGTGGAAAGGCAATGAAGGCCAAATGATTCAGAAAGCTGACTACTGATGGCTCAAAAACCTACACATGCTATATACTCCGATTGGGTGATGAGTGTGCTGATGTTCACCGAACCTGTGGAGGGTCTCTCAGATCTTCATATAGAGAGGGGGCATGGGTGGCACAGTCGTCTTAGGCCCCGCAATTTCGCTGTGCAGAGTTGCGTCCCTTGGGCACGCCAGAAACCTATGATTGTGGGTTCGAATCCTGGTTCGCCCTGATTATGTTTCTAGGTTTGTCAGCACCCGTGCTTGTGGGTTTCACCAAAGTGGTAAACGTCTGAGACCTGCATCACTTTGGGCTTTCCTCCCACATTAAGCTGACATGCCATGATATAACTGGAATAATGTTAAAAGCTGCGTTAAACCCAACTCACTCACTCATATTGAGAGGTACATTTATGTAAGGCTAGATGTATTTATTTTTTTGGTTTTACAGATTTTTCCCCCCAAAATTTCAGGTCAGTAGGTCAAAAAACAAAACAAAAATATTCAAATACACTTGTATATAATTTGATTTCCTGAAAATGGTAAATTGGGAAAGAAAAGGCAGGGAGGGGTAATGGAAACCCAGGGCGGGGGTTTCAAATGTAAAGAAGTATCAAATACCCAATAACAACTGCAAATCTGAAAACACATACAGTAAACAACCGTTATAACGAACTTAAAGGGACAACTAAATTTGGTTCGTAATAGCCGTAGTTCGTTATAAGCAAATATACAGCATAGCTACAGCAAATAGACGGGGCCCAAAACAGTTCGTTATATCCATCAGTTCAAACAAAACGGCGGCGCCCATTCAAGACGATCTGATCGACAATCAATCATGAATGGTCGTATGCTTGTTTATGGGGAAGCTGACCCATCATATGGCATAATATAACGTTGGGAGAAGGAATGTCAGCAGTGGGAGAGACAGTTTGGAAGATGACCCAATCTCATTAAAATCAGATCTTACAGAGACCATATAATACATTATATGGTCTCTGGATCTTAGTTTTCGCTACCGCTAAACAAAGTTTAGCGGTAGCGAGAACTGAGGTCTGATTTTAATGAGATTGGAAGATGACCGCTACTATGGTCGACCCACCATCAGCACCAAGATTGTGTGTTTGTTTGTTTGTTGTTTAACGCCACACTCAGCAACATTCCAGCTATATGACGTCGGTCTGTAAATCATCGAGTCTGGACCAGACAATCCAGTGATTGAGATCATGAGCATCGATCCATGCAATTGGGATACGATGACATGCATCAACCACGACAGCGAGTCTGACCATCCGATCCCGTTAGTCGCCTCTTTCGACAAACATAGTCGTCTTTTAAGGAAATCATGGGTTCCTGAAGACCTATTCTACCCGGTATCTTCACTCGTCTGTATTTTAATTAAGTCTTTTTACTTGCTGTTTTGACCTACTGAAACATAGTCTGACTTGTCATAATAATTAATAATATAGACAAAACCCTTTCTATATCCAATAATATACGTGGGGTGGAAGAATATCTGTGTGGGAAGATGCCTCCCACTTTGGTCGACCCACCATCAGCACCAAGAAAACATTGATGACATGATGTTTTGCCAAAAATGTCATTTGGCTAACAAAGTTATCACTTATATGGATAAGGACTAGAGCAAAATATACACAAGTACCTTCTTAATTCATCTGCAAAACCTTGTTTCTTTTCCTCCGTTGCGTAGACCTGTGCTGTGTACATTCATTTCCACGGTACTGACTATCTGTAAGGCACCCTGTAATAAAAACAACAAAACAATGTGACTGTTTCTCTAAAATATTTCACAGAAAATAGCCCAAAACATGTCCTGTGTAGGTTTAGTTCTTTTTGTTCATTACATACTTACACTACTCTGCTGATTTCGATGCTTTGTCGATGCATGGTGATCATGCACTCGGATCCCAAATTTAGATGTTCAGAGATTTGTTTCGTGGCGCCGCTTCGCACTTTCAGACGAACATAAGTCTGGATTCATATAGAACCTGAAATAGATATTCATTTTATTTGAACATTATTCCGGAAACTTTCAAATTGTCACAAGTGCAAATTGGATTGGGATTTCATCTCACAATTTGCGAATAATGTGTAACAATGACAGAAATGACGAGGAATATGTCGTCTGCTATGCGTTTCGTATGGGGCAGGTTTTCATGAGATCAGCATAAGATTTTATCGCCGAAATATTACACAATTTTTGGTAAGGATTAATTATGAATCAAAAGTATTCCTAGATGGATACTTACCACAGATACCCGTCGGATGATAGGAAATTGTAGCGCCAAATAAATGCGTTTTCTCACATAGCGGATGTGGTTCACAGGTCATGGGCAGCTTTGAATGCTCGTTAGAAAAACAGAACACTGATGTTCTATTAATGAAACACGTGTTCTCGCCCATAACATTAGTGTGCTGATATCATTATATACTCATTATAGAACACAGCAGAACACATGTGTTCATGGAGAGAACACATGTGTTCCAGGAGAAATGTGTTCAGCAAATAGAAGTATATGTTCCATAGCACAAATATATGCTCCAGGTAAATGTGGCCAACAGAATGCCAGTGTTCTGATACACGAAAATGTCCCGTAATGAAAGCAAGTTATTTCCATGTATTACCAATGAGTTGTATTTCAATAATGTTTCATGATGTATTTAGTCAGGCTACATGTGAGTTACTATTAATACAAAGTAAGCCGTGTTTATAAACTATTTATTGTTCATCAAACTCAAAATATCACCCTTCTTATACACATTTTCTGTTTGACTTAACAATCTACCAGCCTCTCTTATTCTCAAAAATAAAAATTTCAAAAACACAAATAAATGGTCGCATTTAAATTTAGCTAGCAATATTAAGCACATTATCTCTGCTTAGGTGCATGGACTTCTATAAAGGTCAAGCCCACTAGCTTGATGATTGGCTGATAATACAGTGGGCGTGGTTTGTATGGCATTATTCAGCACATTATCTCTGCTTAGGTGCATGGACTTCTATATAGGTCAAGCCCACTAGCTTGATGATTGGCTGATAATACAGTGGGCGGGGTTTATACGGCATTATTCCGATCAATATCACTGTTTTGGTATCGTTGTCTACCGTTTGATATGTTAATGATTAAATAAGCAGTCTGTGAAGTTGTTATTTTTTACTTATTTATTTATAAGACTTGATGGTTCGCAAAACGCAAAACATAGTATAGTCATTCAGTCATTACATAACTCCTAATGTCTTCACCCGTGAAGATTCCGGGGTAGAATAGGTTTTCAACAACCCATGTAAGCCGTAAAAGGCGACTATGCTTGTCGTAAGAGGCGACTAACGGGATCGGGTGGTCAGGCTCGCTGACTTGGTTGATGCATGTCATCGATCCCAATTGCGTGGATCGATGCTCATGATATCAATCACTGGATTGTCTGGTCCAGACTCGATTTTTTACAGACCACCGTCATGTAGCTGGAATATTGCTGAGTGCGACGTTAAACAACCAACCAACCAACCTAATTTCTTTAAACAAACACTCTACACCCACTCTCTCACTCTCGCTACTGCCCCCCTCTCCGTGCACACACCTGCATCCGATATAAACTTGTACTGTAGAATCCGAAAAAAGGTAAGAAAGTATTTCGTTGTTTCGAATGGAACAGAACATGCGCTTGGCTAGACTAATATCTAGTCTCTGAAATGAATATATTTTACGTATAAAAACAGTTAAATCATAGGTATGAAATATAATAAAAAGGAGCCCAGAGACTCTCTTCATTATAGATACTGCAGTAACCTAGACTTGAAAAATATTATAGACTTGCATAGGCTGTATTGGATATATTTGTTTCAGGATCTGTATGACAGACTAATTTTTTTGCAGAAAAGTCGATTTACTGTTCTGTTAATCACGACTACAGTTGTGAAAATGGCACCTTTTATATGAATGGTCTGTCGTTAAAATACCACATTCGTCAGTTCTCTAATACCCTAGCTTAATATCAATGTATTGGTAATTATGTTAGAAAAGTAGACAAGCATGTTATCTAAATATCTTATCAAATAAAATTCGTAAGTGTGTAATTTTTAAAATGATAAGCCGAAACGTAAAGATGACCAGTTATACCGACCAAACCTACCAAACCTACCCCTCAAAAAGCACACAGAAAAAAATCAACACGCTTGTCTGTCTACCTTGTGAGCCGCAACGTGTCGTGACAGTTGCCGAACGTAACCGGAATGACCCGAGGATATCTGAATGTAGTGTATATACGTTTGCGACATATCGGCTCATTTACGGCAGCTACTGTCAACGTGGACGAAGTTCGGCTGGTCGACTGGGGCGTAATTGTAAGTTTTCAATAACACGATCGTTGACACCTAAAGTTGTATATGAGAATTGACAAGGTCGAAGCATCGGTACGATACAAAACTTGTACACTTTCTCGATAAAATTAGAACTGTGAGTCTGATTGCATTGCATTGAAACGAGTTGATGAACAGCTGTTGACAGCGTTGTTGCAAGTTGAAGTGTATTTAATATAGTATACAAGCAAACAACACAGATGCCACAGATGTCTTGACTTGTTTTTTACTTTTAAACTTTGGAACATTTTTTGTTCAGTTTATTTTTTGTACTATTATCATTTGACTTCATTGTCTGACATTTAAGAGGTTTTTTATCTTTGGGTCTGGGGAATAGCCAGATTTATATATTGACCATACTGTCAATAGAAACTGTGTTTATAAACGTCTCACTCTAGCATGATTGTCTTCTATCCTAGCATGGGATATGTATTGGTAGGGTAATTTATTCGCTCATTTTATGATAAGATTGTTAAGACTACCTGAATGTCTTTGTTTGATTTTTGAAGGCTGCAAGTGTATAATTAACATCAATATAGCGAGGGTTTTATGCGAAGCGCAAATGTGTGCACAGTGCACACAAATGTAGAAAAGGGATGCAGAAAATAACACTGCACCCTGAGGGAAACACAATAATATTCAATGTACCTACAGAGCATCAAGAGCAGTTATGGGTGTCTGTTATTTCATCCATCAATCATGACCACTGTCAACACGATTATTGATTATTCCACGCTCTAAAGTAATGATCTAAACATAGAGTACACTACACCATTTAATCACTTTACAGGACCCTCATATTGCCAGCATGGACCCTTAAAATTAATTATCTGGGATCCCCTGGACCCCAACTTTTGTAAGTCCGGGTAAAACCCCAATAATGATAAGTGTCATGCTATATATTTATTGTGATCTTTTAAGAACTTCATATATTCATAGACAAGAATAATTGTCATGTATGATTGATTTATCCCACAATCTGTTATAGACTTGCCACACTTAATGTTGACTCTGTGGCTGTATATTGATCATGTGACACGTGGTGTCACAGATGTTACTTCAGCGTGGTCTTACTACCATATGGTTGATAGTTTACACTGTCACAGAAGGGTTTTACTCTCATCTTATTTAAATCAGATCTTTGTGCTTAGTAATCTTAGTGCTTGCTAATGCTGCATGGATTTTAATGACATTTCAGTATATCTGTTGTTAGAATGGTGTTTCACAATCATAACTTTATTTAATATTTTCCCAACCTCTTTCACCATGTTGTGATATTTCTATCACGATAGACTAGTGGTAGAGCGTCTGCCTGGAGAGTGGAAGGTGCGGGATTCGATCCCTGGCCATAAAGACATTAATAGATGGTGCTTGTTGTTACCCTCCCTGGCGCTCGGCATTAAAGGGCAAGTTCACACGGAAATGAACCAATTTTTCTTGTACTTTTTCCACATTAAAAGTGTTAACATAGAAGTGTCATAGACAAAAATATAAAAACATCATATTTAATTAACATATTTTTTGCATAAAAACGATTTATATTTTTCATATTTACCAATTGTTCTATTTCTATAACAAAAACACCATGGCTTATGCCCCTTGCAATATGACGTCATTGGTGCCAATTGATAAACATTATGACGTCATCATGCTTTGTTAGAGCCGCTTCACGTGGTGTAGGTACAGTTTTGTGATTTTAGCGTCTCAGATGCCAGCCAGAATTGTGTTATACTGAGTCAACACTGCGCCGGAGTGTGTCGTAGACCATGTTGTTTTACCGCAAACTGGTCCTTGATATCTTTTGCGTTGAGAATAGACAGGGACCCAGTTGAATTAGCACCAATTACGTCATAATCTAAGGGGGATAACTCAGGCCTGTTTAGCTCGAAAAACAAAGGCCTCATAACGGCATATCATTTTAACACTATTGTGAGCTTCCTACTTTCACTGTGAAAAAAAATGAGTGTATATTTTCAAACACAGATACTAACTAATTCTAAAATTGCGTTTTGTTTAGAAAAAGAAAGAAAGTGATTTTTGCGTGTACACTTCCCCTTTAAGGGGCTAAAACAAGGACTGGTCGGCTTGGAGTCAGTGTACTGTGCCTGGAAGGGGTAATCATGTTAAACTGCGGCATGGTATCTCAGTGTGCTAGCACTATAAATCGGCATCAGTCTGGACTGATACAAGCAGCCACACACACATGCATGTCACTAAATATGTGCAATAATCTTGGACACAATGTTAAACCCCATTTCACCTCAACTATCACGATAGAATGACCGAGGACAGCAATCTGTAGTGACTGCCATAATGGTTGATAAAAAACTGGAAATTCCAAAATAGTAGTATCCAAAACAGATACATTATTAATATACAACAAGATGAACACTTATCATAACCAGATAACTGTTCCTTACTAAAATAAATACTGAATACTTTAGGGTTGATTCTTAATGAGAAATATAGATCTTTTTATCATGTGACATATGGCCAAACTATTGAAATGTAATTGCATACTTATCTTCCGAGGCAAGAGAGTTAACTGACTTTAAAAGTCTAGTTTCCACCCTTGCCGCAACCACAAGAACAAAATAGTTATAAATGAAGGGATGGCTATTAAATGTAACACTAGTTGGCGCGTCCTCAGTTACCACGTCCCTGTGTTTTGCCATGCTTTCTGGTGGCTCTGTGCTACTTCTGCGATTATGGGAGGTAACTCTATGAGTTCCCGTTCTATTAATAGCGTATCACGATCTCACAAACAGACGATACAAGTAACGTGTGCACCTAGGTATTGATGATATCAAAGGTAGCGGTGAATCGTTACAGCCCTAACACTAACTACAAATATAGTGGAGGCTGTTGAGTATTGCCAGTGTCATCTTCTCGAGGCAAGTGAGTTAACTGACTATAAAAGTCCAGTTTCCACCCTTGCTGAACAAGGCTGGTATTATGGAGTTACATTTAGGCTGGACTAACGAGTCTGTGCATAGTCCAATCACAATTGTGCAATAAAATTAAAAAAATCCATTTCGTAAACTGTCGTGCATATTTCAGTCGATTGCAGGATTTGCAAAGTGTGTGCACCGCCAACTCGTTGTCAGCAGATATTTTCCAAATCTTTTCATGTTTTTAATCAACGTGCTCACGTTATTTCACGATGCAAGACCTGTTTTATCACTATACAGATCTTGATTATCGATAAGATCGTCTTGACTAAGCGCCAGCATTTTGTTTGAAGCAAATGCAAGTGATATGAGAGGTGGAATCTAATTGATCCATAGGAGACGCTTAGAAGGGCCATAACTCGTAATAGCCACTGGTGGCGCTACGATCAAGCCCAGGAATTCCAGCCTAGTTCGGCAAGGGTGGAAACTGGACTTTTAAAGTCAGTTAACTCTCTTGCCTCGGGAAGATGTTGCATATTGTGTCACACAATATTGTAATCTTTAACCTTTAGTTGTAACTGATGTTTGAAATTGATTGAACATTTAAGATTAATGATTAAATAAGGATGTATATCGTGTTGACAGCTAAAATTTAATTAACAACCTTTAATATTTCATTTTGAAATACCTTGTGTCATCGCACACAGTATAGTCTGCACCAAAGATTTGCTACAGCCATTGAGAATAGTAACCATGGTAACCAGATAGTCTGTCTTACAGACCCTGATATAAATACCGTATTCGACGTAATACGCGTTAAGGGCGCTCTCAAAAATAAAAATAAGGGGCTCTTATTAGAATATTATTTTGGTGGAAAAAAACTGAGTTGAAAGATAAATTTTGTGGTTTATGCTGACGGCCTGAACTGTTTATATACGACAAATATATTTTCCTGAATTTAATTGAATTTTTATTTTTTTTTAAAATAGTCTTGTGTACAATGACCAATCGGAAGGGGTGCTAATTGGGGTTGTTCACTTGCCAATGTATAAGCAAATATCGGCGGGGCGCTTATTATGTCGAATACGGTATATCAAATACAGCCCATGCAAGTCAATAATGTTTGGCAAGTCTAGATTACTGCAGTATCAGTATCCGAAAATGAAGAGTCTCTGGGCTCATTTTTGTTCTATTTTTATTAAAATAATTTAACAACTGTTTTTTTCTGTACGATAATTTCATTTCAGAGACAGGATGTTAGTCTAGTGAGCTTCAGCTATTGGCTCTTTTTCAGAACAAACAACCAATCATCAACTGAGATCAAGATGAGGCAGCTGAAGGGCAAGGTCAAGGAGACGAGGAAGGAGAAGCGGGAGCGCAAGATGGACAATATGAAAAACAAGCAGGCGTTGATGACGGTCGTGCTCCCTGTGTTGGGGGTGATCGCCTTGTTGATTGGACTCTTCGTGTACGTGAACTCTCGCCCGATGCCCGACGAGCAGTGATCTGGCCAGACTTTGAACTCATACTGGATTTATATTGTTAACTATATATTTTATGGTTATGGGTGTTTCTGAGACCTGTGTGAATGCTGACTGAGAGTTTTGGTGTTTGGTCAGATTTTCAAGAACTTTGCATAATTCATTCGTCATCACATCGTTGAATTTTCGCTAAGATGAAGAGGTGGTAGTAATTGATATCTGTGCAGTGAGATGCACTGGACGTTGTATATGCTTCAGCCAGTCAGGGGATCGAGGTCATGCCTGTGAACAAAATGAGTTCTGAGCAATTGTAGCCCTTTAGAAATAATTATTATTGTTTTTCTAGGGTCAAGGTCATGCCCTGAGAACAAAATAACTGATCAATCGTGGCCCAAGAAAATGATTGCTTTTCCTCCATGTCCTACTTACTCCATGGCCACGATTTTGACTTTTAGTTTCTATGGTTACCAGACCCATAATTATTCCTGACAGTTAGTAACGATTGTGTAGTGTCGATTTTAGGTTCAAACAAACAATACATCACAGTTTTCTGTATGGACTTTGTACATGATGTATACTGTGACATGTGAAGCCCATTTCTGGTGTCCCCTGCAGTGATGTTGCTGGAATATTGCTAAAAGCAGCGTAAGACCATACTCACTCACTCACTCACTCACTCATGTATGTGAGGTTTTAATTGCCTCTCATTGAAGCAAAAACATAATGTGCCCTTTTCTTGCAGACAAATGTACAAAGAATATAATCTGTTCTTTTCATTTAACTTAAGAAATATAATTGAGCACCCGTTGGTTGTAAAAAATAACTGAGCTCCTTAAACATTTAAAAAAAACTGCTATCTCAAATCAATAATGGTTGTTCCCGAAATATTACTTTTTGAAAATTTGCGATTTATATAAACATAATATATACATTGATATGTCCGTCCCTTCAAACAGAATCTCATCATCAATATCAAGACTGTTTCACAAGTATATTGGAAGACGGAAATAGAACAAAATGTGTGTTCATTGAGTGAGAAACACGACAAGGACTGTGTCATGTCTAGTCATTATCTGTTTTAAGCGCCACAACTATCGTGATGGTCTTTTAGATATTTGTTGTGAATGAATCCACTGGGTTCCAATCCCAGTACACACTGATTTAGTTTTTAAGTTTGTCTGTTAGGGTTGGGATGAGTCCAAATCTACTACCCGGGTACCTAACCCCCTATTTCCCGACCCTACCCGGGTACCCACTGCAGGTCTGAAGAGTTGGGAACAAAATGTCTGATTGGAAATTGTTTTACTGCAGCCCTGGCCAAAATTATTAAGATACATGTATCAAAAGATCCGATCATCTACACTGACATTAACTGAAGCTTTATCTTTACTCAAACATATACAAGTCAAAAGGAATGTGTGCATTATCAGAAAGAAATGCGAACATTAGGGACTTGTAGTGTAAGCGCTGAGCTATAGTGAGTTTTTGTCATTAAACAATGTATCACGTGACTTACCACGGGTCCGGGTAGTCTTTGTGGGTACCCGGGTCCAACTCAGTACCCACCCGAGTACCCGAGTACTCGAGTTACCCATCCCAGCCCTATTGTCTGCTCCATACTCTAACTCATGGGTTTTCTGGGGGCACAGGTGGCCCAGTCGTCTAAGGCGCCGTGATTCGCTGTGCAGAGTTGCGTCCCTTGGGCACGCCAGAAACCTATGATTGTGGGTTCGAACCCCGGTTCGCCCCGATTATGTTTCTAGGTTTGTCAGCACCATACCCGTGCTCGTGGGTTTCACCGAAGTGGTAAACGTCCGAGACCTGCATCACTTGGGGCTTTCCTCCCACATTAAGCTGACATGCCATGATATAACTGGAATAATGTTAAAAGCAGTGTTAAACCCAACTCACTCACTCATGGGTTTTCTGATCACTTTGGGCTTCCTCCTACATCAAGCTGACACGCCCTGATATATCTGAGATACTCTTCAGCTTGAAACTAAACTAAGTTGCTAATCCAGTTGGCTACCATAATGTTGACCATCTTCCTGAGGCAAGGGAGTTTACTAGGCTGGAATTAGGGAGTTATATTTTGGCTGGACTAACGAGTCTGTGCATAGTCCAGTCAAATCCTGTAATGAACTGGACATCCAGTTCATAAACAAAATGTCAACTGCAGTGCTGATTTTGTTTGATTACAGTATTTCCAGTGTATATGTACCGCCATCTGGGCATCGACAGATATTTTCCAAATATTTTCATGTTTTTAATCAAGGTGCTCAAGTTATTTGATGCACTTCACAAGGCGAGACCTGTTTTATTACAATATAGATCTTGATTATCTCGAGACTGTGCGTCGCCATTTTGTTTGAATCAAATGCAAGTGATATGAGGGGTGGAATAACTCATAAGGGTTCAATTCCCAACATGGGTACAATGTGTGAATCCCATTTCTGGTGTCCCCCGCTGTGTTTTGCTGGAATATTGCTAAAAGTGGCTTAAAACCATACTCACTCACTCACTCATAACAGCCACTGGTGGCGCTGTGATCGAGCCCAGAAATCCCAACCTAATTCGGCAAGGGTGGAAACTGGAATTTTTGAGTCAGTTAATTCCCTAGCCTCAGGAAGATGAATGTTGCCAAATTTGACCTGTTTGATTTTAGTGCTACATTTGACACTGTATGTTAATATTTTACAAACAGATAGTATTACTATATTACTTATTGGATTGTAACTTCAGTAGAAATGAGTTTTTCACTCAAAAAATGTTTTTTATATAAGGGTGTAGTTTTTATTGCATAATAATTGTGTTGTTTTAGAAATTGAGGAGACAATCTACATGCAATTTGTCATTTTGTGATAAAACTCATTATTTTTTACATTGGTAATGCCCTTGTTTCCATCATTTCACAATGTGTGTATGGGTTATATATTCAAACTACTTATATGATGGGAAATTCTAAAGGAAGGACTTTTAGATTTAGGACACATCACGAAGGAAATAGTCTGACCTTTTGTCATTCAATTTTGAGACGATATCTGTCGTTATTTTGTTTTTTAATGCATATCGTTACATCCTGCAATTGCTAGCCGCCAAAGAACAAACACCAAAAATTGGTATTTATGACATTTGAATTGATGTTTATGCTCCTTGTAAGTCAATTTAGATACAGAATCTGCAGATCATGTAACCATGGTAACCAAAACGTGAATTATGAAATTGTATGCATGACATACGGCAGTGGGTCTTTCTTGACTTGTCTTGTAAATTAGTCATTTCAGTTCTCAGCATGTACCCTTAATTCTGCCTGTCAGGTGAACTTTTGTTGATGTCTTCTGACAGTGGAGCAGGAAGCCTTTCAACTGAATGCTCAGTTCATGAGGGATCTTCCATCTATTTTCTTGGCAGCATGTTGTATTAAAGTGAAGCCTTACCAATATTAGATTGTATTTGTGAATGGGAATACGGGAATACACGAAGATTTGTCATAATGATTTGTTATGTCTTATGAGATTATTAAAAATTTGTCAAAGTGATAATCTTTGTTGGAACAATGTTATACTCATTATAAGGACCGCCTCCATGGTCTAGTGGTTAGGTCCTGCCTGGAGAATGGAATATCGGTGTGGTCAGGCGCACTGACTTGGTTGATGAATATCATCTATCCCAATTGCGTGGATCGATGCGCATGATGTCAATCACTGGATTGTCTGGTCCAGACTCAATTATTTACACTGTACAAATCTGTTTAGAATGTAAACACATACAACATATTTTTAGGAATGTGTTGATGCATGTCATCGATCCCAATTGCGTGGATCGATGCTCATGATATTAATCACTGGATTGTCTGGTCCAGACTCGATAATTTACAGACCGCCGTCATATAGCTGGAATATTGCCGAGTGCGGCGTTAAACAACAAACCAACCAACCATTTCTTGCGCTTTCATCTCGCAGCCTTTCAAATATTTGACCCTAATCGCGTTTAGCTATATAGCTGTGAATTAAACACAACCATGCATGATGACCATGTTTAAACCATTAACCCGTCAAACTTATGGCACAAGGAACGTGCTAAGGTTTGTGTTGAGGATCTCAACACATTTTTACTCTGTTCAGACCGCCATGATACAACTAGAATATTGTTGCTTGCGGCGTTCAACAGTACACACGCACCCACCCACATAGCCTTTATGGTGAAACCCTTGATTGCCCAATTCGAATATTCTGAAATCGAACAATTTCTTATTTCTACATTAACCTGTATTGCAAACATAAATAATTTACGAACAGGCTGCGGACTACTGATCACCCTGGGCCGCCATGTCAATACGACCTATCACTTGATAACAATCACTTCATGTCGAGACGAGCCACCTGCTGCGGGACACCTGTTGCTGTGGAATAGGTGTGATAGCAGATGATTTTAATCATTTTCATATTTATGATCTGATAGTGATCAATATTTACAGTGTTTGGGCATGGCTGTAAAACACGCTGTTGGATCTTGCCGTTTCCGGTGCGTCCATTATCTTAAACGTCCATGCATAAAACGTGCGCTTATTTGTAGATGGAATAAGGACATGTGACCGAAAGCTTTTTATCAATATGCGTTTTACAAGTGGCAGTTACTTACAGGCCGACCTCAGATGGAATATTGCTGAGTGCGGCGTTAAAGAACAAATAAACAAATAAACAAAATAAGTCTGTCATGTCAAGATACGGTTTTCATCGCATGGACACAAGAGTATACAGCATTCGTCACCACTCGCGTGTTTCCGTAACATTCGCTGAATGGGACGAGTAGGTCACGAATTTATTGCAATCTGGAACACTCGGCTTTTTCGACGCTTACACGATATGTATGAATGGGACTCATTCACATCGAATTCTTATCCTTGAGGGGCGGTTGGTTAACCTCGTGTTTAAAGCGTTCGCTCATCACGCCGAAGGCCCGGATTTGATTCCCCACATGGGTGCAATGTGCGAAGCCCATGTCTGGTGTCCCCAGGCGTGATATTGCTGGACTTGCTTAAAGCGGCGTAAAACAATACTCACTCACTCACTCATATCCCCCGACTCGACCCCTATCTCCGTCAGAGTAAAACACATAGTATGGGGTTGAATAGTCTGTCATACAGACCCTGAAACAAATATATCCAATACACCCTTTGCAAGTCTATAATGTTTGGCAAGTCTAGATTACTGCTGTGAAAATGAAGAAAGTCTCTGGGCTCGTTTTTATTATAATTTATAACTATAATTTAACAACTGTTTTTTTCTGTAAAATATGTTCATTTCAGCGACTAGATGCTAGTCTAGGGATTGAAGCAAGCCGAGGGCAACTCATGATGTGTCCTTCCTTGACATTGCTGTAGGCGGCGTAAAACCTCACTCACTCTAGTAGACACTGATAAAGGAATGATTGTAATATTTTCTCGAAATGAAGGTAATTCCAACAAACGTGTCACACTAACATTTCGTCGTACGTTTTTTTGTGTGACGAGAATAATCCGCCCCACTAAGGA